GCCATCTATCAACAAAGAGAGGCTTTTGCTAGACAGTTGATCCGGCTCTTATCCTCATCGCTCTCTGCCTCCAGCTGGCTTCCTTTTCATACCGTAGAATTTTACCCTCAGGCGGTGCACCTAGACCACGGAAGCAACAAGGTGCCACCCCCTTCTACAATTCTCAGTAGTTCACTGCCTGCAGGGCAGAGCCTAGGCTGGAAAAGCACAAGAGGCGCATCGCCCTGTTAGGGCTCATTAGTGGTGCGCATTCCCTATGTCCTCTAAGGAGGATCGAAAACATGACCTCTGGAAGCAGGTGCCAACTAGCCAGCACCTTAAGCCACTGAGCCATGTGGGACGTTGTCTGCGCTACATAATTTGAAAACTAACCACGATATAGCACCACCTATCTTCCACTGTCCCTGACAGTGTTTAGCCTGCAAAGTGATGACTTTCTCTAGATAGACGCTTTATCCATAGCATTTTGAAACTAGGAGTGCTTATACTTAATTTATATTTTTTACGATTAGCAGGATTTTAGTTGTACTTTTGCTAAGGCTTCCAGGACTAGGCGCTTCTACGTAGGGTGTGAACTACTTGAATGAAAGCCTTATCAAAATTACAAATTACTTCCTGCTACCCGTATGTAACATAGTGCACGATTGTTGGTTTTAGGCATTGCTTGTTCTACAACGCAATCTCCTCTTCCGCTACGGCCTGTCTACTTTCACTTTAACCCACTGTCACATACCTGACTGCTCGGCCGTCGGTGTTCCCTAAACCTCACAACAACATTGGCTTCCGCTATGTATTTTATGTATGTATGTATGTATTTATGTATGTATTTTATTTGTATGTATTTTATGTATTTTATGTATTTGTATGTATGTATTGTATGTATTGTATGTATTGTATGTATTTTATTCGGCTCTTACCTTCACTGTTCTGTAGCACCATATGGTTCCTGTTTGACAGTACGGCATATCACACTTCTGCTAGAACAATCTCACCGACGCTTTACGAAGACGTTTACTCCATCGCAGCAAGCGCTGAGTTACCGACAAAGGTGCAAACACCTTAAACCTCAACCCCTATGGCAAGGGCGCATTATCCTTAACCTATTCTTCTTACACAAGCTAATTCATAGAAAGCTGCACAGTAATAGCACTTGTCGTAAACTAAGGAGCGCATCTGACTCTAAACTCCGAAACAAGGATCCTTCCATTACACCTCTAAAGCAAAAGAAGAGACTGAGATCTCGTTTCTTCTTAGTTGTGTATGTGAACATATGGAACAGGTTGCCTTCCAGAATAAGAGAAATCCAAAACTTGCAGATATCCAGGAAGGAGATACAAAGATTCCTATGTTTCGGCAATATTCAAAGTATCTTCCATACCTGCGATTCGCAAGACCACTTCTTCGAAACTGGTCTTGATGTAGCTTGAGGAGGCTAACGATATACTACATGACTTCTAAGCATCTTGAGCTCACAACTCATCAATATTCCTTGTCGTTACCGTCTTAGCACCTAAGAGACTTTATCGGTATCCGTCGTACACATTTTCTAGGGTTTAAGATTAGCAAACCGAGTACAAACCGCTTTTAGTCTTCAACCATCTCTTCCCGACCCACTTGAGTTCTTCTAGGGAAAATTCCGCATTACGACTGCACTATGGAAAGAGAAAACGCTACCACAACAGCATCCGGTAATGGATAATAAGGGATAACCCCCAGGAATTGTCTCCATCAGTGATCCTTGTTCTTTCAACTTATCCATTACCGCAATCACAAGACCCAGCAGGTCTCAGTCGGCTTAGTCGCACGCATCGTACAGGTGCTAACCTTAAAATTCTGAATGCCGGCGGTATTTAGGCATTACTGATTAGTTCCTGACGTGCTTCGACCCACCTTGACACGTTGATACAAAGGCTGAATGGACCAATTTGTATCCACAACCCACCGGCCTCTCTCTTTCTATCGTCACTCCGTCAAGGTTTAAAAATTTCAACCAACGGTACAGCCCAGCCTACTGACTAGCAGCTTCGCAACCCCGTAGTTATTCTTAATAGGGGGTATTACAGGGCAATGCCGAAGCCATGGTGGAGGCGAATTGAAATCCTTACATCTTATCTACATCTTCATTCCTTATCTTCAGCTTTACATTTATCACTTTCCAACTTCTTGACCACTGGGACCGTGGAAAACATATTAGGCTTATGCCTTTTGAGGTACTCCGAGTATAGGCGCTTTATCAGATCTAGGTCTAGCATAAACTGTTGAAAGCGTTCGTCGCTGATGATACACCTAACCTTAGTCTTAGTATTGTCCAAAACCATCTAAATGCCGGCTTTAGATGAACCTTTATGTGCCTTCGTAGATGTCGGTTACTAGCTGGCCCTTATTGACGCTGTCTAATTGAGCCTGAACCCTAGCTACGCTACTCCGCCGTTTCTAACCACCATCAATATGTAAACGGCAAACTAATATATACCTATCATATTGTTGACAAAGAGAGCACTTTAAAAGTTCTAAGCCCAAGGATCAGACATTTTGCTCTCCACTTATCCTCTCTTGGCCCCATATCCTTAGCTTTAGCTGGTATACAAATGCCGTGCACTATTGGCAACACTAGTAGAAAGGCCTACTGAAACCCAAATCCTCTGCAGTAAATGCTTTTACTAGTAAAACATTCGCATTTCCAGATTCTATTTCACTGGCACGAAAGCTAACCAAAGACAGAGTGACCCCTGTCACACCGGCTGGCTGGACCACCAGAAACTTTCCATCACCACTTTTCGTATCTTGGCCGAGAGTGTGTTATTTATCTTTCAGCTGGCTCCAAAGCCTACCATGCGGTATGGGTAATGGCGGGAGGACGACCAGCTTTTGTTAATATTATACCCCTGATTTACGTAATAACTATTTGCTTATGGTGCTAGAACAGCACTTGTCAGGAAAACCACAAAAGAAATAGCCGGTGTGACTGTATAGTACTAGTTAAAATTGTCACCAAGATGAACCCCACTGGCACTTGCTTCGAAACTTAAAATTGGAGAGAAATAACTTGAAATTCATCAAAGAGCTGCACATTAGTGTGCAGCAACACACGATGCATAACTTTTCCGACAGTTCTCCTGTGTTACTTAAGTAGACTGGCTCCAGCGGCCTTGATATAAACTTCAGGACAACTTAGAAGCTTAAAAAGACTAAACTCTATATTCCTAGTGGCGTATGTGGCTCAGTATCCACTGAAAATGGTATTCTGAGGTTTTCTAACCGTTGGTTAATTATAAGCTCTCCTGAATTCCCATGCAAACATAATATATTTATACTGCATATCTAGTGTTTTCGCGCAAAATTATAAATAAAATAAATAAATAAAGTTTTTATTCTCGACAAGGCGAGGCACGCCTTTACATGCATGATCATTATGACAACAATGCGTGGTCTAGAATGTGCAAGAATACGTTATGTTTGCCGTACCAGTGTACGTTTATGTATGGAGTATGTAACCATGTAACTGTGTGTGTGTGGGTGTGTCACTGTGAGGTTCCTGTTTGTAACTGTGCTGCTCTAACTTTGACTCTCATATCGTCGGCAATGCTCGAGTAGAAGATGGATGTCCGTGCGTTGGAAAGGATTATTCGGATACCCACGGGGCAGTGACTTTATTTCGTGGCGAGTCACGACCGCCACGTCACAGTGTTGTTAAGCCGACATTTGTGGCATTTTATATTTGCCATGTATGCCTGTAAAGTATACTTTTCGGCCACCTACACAGTCCCTACTTGTTACAAGGTATTACAAGCTAATTAGAGCATTTTTGGATAGCAATGCCTATTTAGAAAATATACCGCTTCGCTACCTTTTGCATCTTCTTTTCGTTTGCTGCTAGCTGCTTGCAAAGCAGAAAGCCATTTTTAGCGAAAAAGTACAATGGCCTTAATCGTAGACTACCATCCAATCGCGAATAGCTGCTGCCCGGTAGTCGCAGACCTAGCAGGGTACTTTAAAGATTGGTCCGACGGGAGTGAAACAATTGACCTCTAGACTCTGACATTCTAATCTGGTGTAACCTTAAAACTGTGTTTTAGTGTACTAAAACGCCATCAACCGTTTGCCGCGGATTCGAATGCTTGGCAATTGTAGCCGGTCCGCGGGCATCACCGTAACACGTTAACAGGTAAGAGGTCGGTCGGTTTTGCTTCCTGTTATCATTCCTCTCATATTCCTCTCCGGCACTCTTCCTTCCCTCTTTCGTGCTTCCTTAGCTGCTTCCTTTACATCGGCCTCTTACTAGGCGGTTTGAGCGTACAGCCGTCTACGAGGTATTTATTTTTTGCATTGCAGCTTGTCAGAGAAGGGGATATTGGAGGATTTTGGGGGTGGTGGGGGAGGATATCTATTTATATTATTAGTGAAGTATATCTGGGGTCTAGTATGGGGCGGGGGTGTTGTGGGGCTGGGGGGATGGGGGGAGGGGGGGAGTGTAGAAGGGGAGGGGGGGGGGGAGGAGTCTATGGAAGTATCTATATTTGGATAATATCTATTGGTGAGTGTTAGAAGGGATAGGGAGGGGGGGTGTGAAGAGTAGATGGTGTGTGGTGGGTAGGAAGATATAATGGAGGGGGTTAATGTGTAAGGGGAGAGTGTCGTTGGGGGGGGGGGGGGGGGGGGGGGGGGGGTGGGGGGGGCGGGGTGGGGGATGAGGGGGTGGATGGAGTGGGGGGGGGTTGTTGGGGTGGGGGTGTGTGGGGGTGGTGGGTGGGTGGGGGGGGGGGGGGGGGGGGGGGGGGGGTGGGGGGGGGGTGTTGTGGTTGGGGGGGTTGGGGGGTGGTGAGTGTGGGTGGTAATGGAGTCTATATATCTGAGGTTGTGTGGGTGAGTAGTGTTAATGGTTTCAGGTTTGTCATGGGTCAGGGTAGGAGACAAAGTACAGAGAGAGTTGGTTATGTGGTTGGTATGGGTCATCTGCTTGAGTGAGAGTGAGAGAGTGTAGTTGGTCTCTATAGACGCAGTGACAGATGCGACTTTGTGGTATTGTTACAGTAGATTGTCTGTATTTTGAGATAGAGAGGACAAGGGAGTTACACAATGGTGGAATACGAATGGGGATGGCAGGTGTACAAGTATGTATGTGAGGTCACTACACGGTGTAGTGAGTGTGGATACGGAGAGCAGATGAGATTGTATATAGTTAGTCACTGTTTCTTTCTGATTCTTGGTTGGGATATGAGACAGAGTTGTTGCAGGGGGGGTGTAGGGGGGGGGAGGGGGGGGTGGGTCTCTCGAGGGATGGACAGGAGGTCAGGCAGGTTAGAGATGTTAGACAACAGATGAGATTTCTGTATATTTTGGACGAGGGATGGCTAAGATTAGGTGACTAAGGGAAGAGGGTTAGTTTGACAGGGGCAAGACGGGGTAATGTAGTAGCTACTCAGCGATGTGCATGCATAGTGGACGGGAGAGTGATATTCTCTTATTTGACAAGGGGGGGGTGACACAGTGCTGTTTAGCGTGGGCAGTGAGAGGCATGACTGAGAGGTAAGAGAATGCACAAGTACTGTTTGGGGGTGCAGTTTATCGATTTCTTGATGTATTATTATGGGTGAAGCGGAGGGGGATATAGTGGGGTATTGGAGGGGAGTTGATGGTCTCTAGGTGTGTGGTTATTTTAATGTCATCTAGCAGTGAGGGTTTAAAGTGAATTGTGATTATCTATCTTCAGGTGTTACGTTGAGTAGTATGAGGTGAAGATGAGCTGGTGTTGTATATAGAGAGGTTAGAGAGAGAGTTATGACGCAAGTATATAAAGCTGTCTATTATCTAGTGATGATACAATGGGACGTTAAGTGTAATGCCAAGAGGCAAGTGTGCGTTTTACTTTAATGGTGAAATACAGGGTATAAGACATGGTACATGACACGTATTGAGTGGTGGACATCTGTTAGGTCATGGGATTAGAAATAGGTGGAATGTCGGTGGAGTCTAGGTGTTCAGTTGCAGAGTATGTATCTTCACAAAGTCTCAATACGAGTTCGAATTGACACCGTTTAAAATTGTTCTGAGAGTGAGACTCATCAATTCAAAGAGTTAGAGATGAGTGTACACGAATTATTTTATATATATTCACAGAGCCTTACACTAGAGGACACAGTTACATTGTCACAAAGCATGTAATAGTACTACATGTACATAGAGTGTACTATTGGTATTCTTAAGTTGGTACCATTTCTGTGAAGTTTAGTGTTGAAGAGTTGGGGTTTGTGTAATAGACATTGAATGGTCTGTTTATTCGTTGAGTATCTTATTTGTAAAACTTAGAGGGAGTCAGAGTAGTATTCTACTCCGATCAGCTCAAGTCCGGTATAGGCAGGTAATTGCGGTTCATAAATAAGAGATGATGTCTCCCTGCGTTTACGAGGACAGCGATGAGTTGAATAACAGAGTTTAGTGATGTAATGGATTCGTGGGGAGATACGAGAAGGGGGTATCATATCTGGGGTGAATTTGGGGGGGGTTATTATATATATGATCTATATATATTCTATGTCTCTGATATATTATGTTAGGTGGGGTTATATTTTGTGTTGGGGATGGGGGGGGGGATGGTAATAAGAGCTACACATCAGTAGGGTTGTTGATGTGTTGAGTTAATTTGGGGTATTTTGTTGTGTCATTGGATATGGGTTATACATGATGTTGAGGGAGGGGGGGGGCTGGAATAGAGATGGTATGGGGTGGACAGGGGGGGAGGGGATTTAGATGGTGGTTGTTTTTATGGTATGTGTGTTGGAGTTAGTTGATGGTGGTTATTTTGTTAGTTTTTTTTTGAGGAGATGTGGTGGGGAAGGGATTTAGAGAGGTGTGTTAAGGTATTTAGGGGTTTGAGAGATTGGGTATTTTATGAGAAATGGGGGTAGTTGATTTTAGTATATGTGGGTATTAGTAGAGTAGATTATGTATTTGTGATACCGCGTAACGTTGACGGAATATGCATCCCTTCAGCGCGAGCAGCGAAAGCGTGTGCCGTCGTGTGGCTGTTGTAACTCCCTAAATGACCAGATTTTTGGCCCTCAGCAGTGCAAATGTACACCTTATGGACCAACTTTTCGTCACCCAGTATAACATTCAACGCCCATCGAACTACAGCAACGAAAGTTTCATGGTAAAGGGATAGTAAACATGAAGCGGAAAGCCCCATATTAATTATAATTACGCAGTGCAGTAGCCACAAACCTAAACCCTAAATTGATTTTGAATTACCAATTCTCGTCCAAACGAAACTTAATTAGGATGACTTTCAGCCAACGGTATGCATTATCTGATGCTACCACAGCATTATCGTGAGTGCGTTACGGTCGGAGCCTGTATACCACAAGCACAACCATCAGGGTCAGGTGATATTACAACGAACTTGGGTCCTAGTACATCGGCACCAAATGTGCCACTGATGGAGCCTATATACAACGTGCACGAGACTTGGAGCGGTATGCTATTACAACCCACCTGGGTCCTATTACGTTGACACCAAATGTGCCACTGTTGGAGCCTATATACAACGAGCACGAGACTTGGAACGGTGTGCTATTACAACCCACTTGTGTCCTATTACATCGACACCAAATGTGCCACTGATGGAGCCTATATACAACGACCACGAGACTTCGAGCCGTGTGCTATGTCAACCCACCTGGGTCCTATTACACTGGCAGCAAACGTGCCGCTAGTCCAGTTCATTGTTTACAATGCTGTAATTCCAAATGAGCGCAGAGACCGATATAAAAACAGTGCATTGTATTTAACAAAAGGCAGCGAGAGAATGTTCAGCGTTGTTTACTATATTCGTGTCTTGGACGCGCATGTCCCATCCAGGGTGTCATTCCACAAAATCGTATTCATCGGCTAAAATATAATAGTAGTGCGAACATACAGCCTACTGTCGGGTAATTGAATGAGATTTTATCTGAACAAGCTTTTTCCTTCTTTGCGTTTTCTTTACTGGGCTGGCGTCCATGTCAAGGCTACAGTGAAGTGAAAATGAGAGTTTAAATTGCATAGAATAGCGTACTTTGGCACTCTATTCTGCACAATACTTCTGTTTGAGGGGTATTCTAGGGCACCCTTTCGACAACCTATCGATGAAAGGTAATGGAATAGATCACCGGAACCAGTTGGGGTGTTGTGGCGGAAAAGGTCAACGGACTGAGGGAACTCATCGTCCGTCAGACGGCGAATGATGGGGTGTCGCTCAAAAAGAAGGTGATTAACTGGGTGATGGTGAGACAGGCCGAACGTTGTGACTTTCAGCTTGCGTCCCGTTTTAATGAGGTTAACGCGAGCTTGACAGTTAGTATTACGTGAGCTGAAAGATTTAGAATAATAGAAGCGAAATCCTACTAAACACGTCTCACTCCTGTACTTTTTGACTTCCGACGTGCGCAGCGGAAACATCGATAAACGACCCTGCCGTACTTCACCCGTGACAGGTTAAACTTTCTGCTGCTGTAGCATACGAAATTGACGTAAGGAAAAAGCATAAACTCTGAAAACGAATTATTAAACTAGTACAAACTATTAAAAAACGCCCAAGGAAGATTATCCGGAAATCAGACTCCATGGCGTACGGATTCGAAAATACTGTTTCTACCGAGTATATGGTTTCTGACACATTCAAACAATTGCAATATCACCTTTGCACAGACTTAAATAAAACTGCAAAGACAGAAAGATACCCGGGAATAATGCCATAAAACGACCGTGAACTATTTATTGCGCACTAGGTTTTGCGGGGTAACAGTGTGTATCTGGATTCTGACACATTTAAACAAATGCAATATCACTTGCACAGAATTTAATAAAACTGCAAAGCCACAATGATAACCGGGAATCATGCCATAAAAAGAAACAAAAATATTTATTGCGCACTAGGATTTGCGGGGTAACGATGCTGCGACCACGTCGCAGCCGAATAACTCGCAAAGTACTGCACGTATTGCCTTGTTTTTACTTTCACCCGTAATCAGCGGTTAAAACTTGTCCCTGAGCAAGCCCATTGTTGTGTTACTGTACACAGTAATCGCCTTAACAAAGGTTTTACTTTTTCTGAGATTATCCAGGTTGAAATTTCACGCCGGAAAGCAATATCAGCGCAGGCAAAGTTTGGCTACATATTTTGTTAATTTGTATTTTCTGGTGAAGCAGGCCTCATTAGTATATTTCTTAACAAATCCGTTTTATTTTCCGCTGCATTTTTCGAAATTATTTTTCAAGTTTGCATATTCCTTATAATTCCGCCACTCCCATTTCTTCCATATGCGCACGAAGAATTTTGGCGACTGAGCGGGCCAACTAAAGTCCCATGAATTTAAAATGAACTTGTGGTAAATTGGATCCTGTTCCAAAGAAAAAGGCACAACTACACCTCTGCGCAGCTTTCGCAACGAAAGCACAAGGAGCTCGAAATCGCCCGAAGGAAGGAAAAACATTTCAATGCCGGCGCCTGCGACTCCAGCAGCTGTACACCAAACAATACCAATGCAATTTAATTTGCCGAAGAGGAACATATGCTCGTATTTTTTCTACTTCCATGCATGAGCTTCGGATTTATGTAAAGATTGATTTGAACCCTTAAGGGTGCAGCCACTAGCCGGTCTAGAAATATACCTATGTGTTTATTTATTTGTTTGCTTGATTCGTATTTTCCCTTGTTCTAAAGATTAGCATTACCTGCACAGGAAAAATTTGAGCATATACCTGCGATGCTCATTTACACCCGGAACCAACACAGAACAAAGAACTCACACGCACTTCGCAATCCGGACACACTAAAGGAACCCA